TTCCTCAGACACAATCTCCCCTGCTTTCTTTTTCTCTTTTGCCTCTGAATACAAGGTTTGTTGAGAGGGGTAAAGAAATACAGCTTCTGTATGTGTATAGTTTTGCTTTTGATTATAGCTTAAATAACTATAAAATTAGTATATGTAAAACTCATCTTTATACAGCCTATTATTATATCTAATGTTTACAATTAAGAAATATCTAGTGCCTTGAACATGGAATAAAAACTGGCTGAGCTTGATTCCTATTGTGAGATGCAGGTTTGGAAATTTAAAAACTATTGTTTATGTATGTACATCTATAGCCTTAATCTGGCTAGAACATTTGACTTAAAACTAACATGATTAATTTTAATATTCACATAAGTGATTTTTTTTTTCACTAGGAAACATGTTTAACAAAATGGCACAGTGGGTAAAACAGGACAATGAAACAGGGATTTATTATGAGACATGGACTGTCCAAGCCAGCCCAGAAAAAGGGGCGGAGACATGGTTTGAATCCTACGACTGTTCCAAATTTGTGTTAAGGACATATAAGAAGTTGGCTGAACTTGGAGCAGAGTTCAAGAAGATAGAAACCAACTACACAAGAATATTTCTTTACAGTGGAGAACCTACTTTTTTGGGAAATGAAACATCTGTTTTTGGGCCAACTGGAAATGAGACTCTTGCTTTAGCCATAAAAAGGTTTTATTACCCCTTCAAACCACATTTGTCAACTAAAGAATTTCTCTTGAGTCTTGTGAAAATTTTTGATGCAGTGATTATACACAGACAGTTCTATTTGTTTTATAATTTTGAATATTGGTTTTTACCTATGAAATTTCCTTTTATTAAAATAACATATGAAGAAATCCCTTTACCTAACAGAAACAATACAATCTCTGGTTTATAAAATCTTCATTCTACTGATTTGTATCCTTCTACCACCAGCATATCAGTCTTTCATGGAGTTCTACATTTGTGTATTTTTTAGGCCTTTCTTCCTTGGGGCAAAAAGGTAAAATGCACAGGGGCAGAATTGCTGCATAATAATATCTCAGGAATTTTTTTGGAAAGAAGCTGAAACTCTAATAGTGTTGGCCAAAGTGAGCACATTATGTGATCTTGATTTCAATCTCCCAACCCTTTATTAACATGGAGAATTATAGTTTATATCAGCTATATAGGCTCTTTAGACCCAACATTTTAAAATCATGAATATAGTGTACCAAGATTTTAAAATTAGCCCCAGTGACATTTTCATGGTAGGAGCTATTGTCTTCTGGTATGGTAGTTACCCTTTTACACTTAAGTACTCTTTGGTAGTTTAGACGGACTTTACCGCTCTTGCAGCTTTTGGAACTGCTCTATTAGTTTGATTTTGTTCCGTCCACTTAAAGCTAAAGACTAATCTGGACGCCATATGTAGAGTGGCTGTGGTTCCAGATGAAAAAGAGCACAAGTGTTTGGCTAGTATTTTAGAACTAGCTAGTAACTGGCCTTGTGTGATATAAGCAACTTAATACCTTCGAACCTTAGTTTCCTTAGCTCTAAAATGATTCATCTGTGAGGACTGTGGTAAAGATTGAAGCCATGTATGTTTGGCATAGTAAGGTCAAAATAAATAGTAGCTATAAAGATTAATCGAAGAACGAACTGGATCTTGCCTAATGAAACTAATGGGCGTTACTGACTGCAGACATGTCTGGGTGATAGGTGCCCTGACTCCTTCACTG